CCTGCCTCTGAAAATCCGAAGCTCGCTCTTCGGAATCCGACACGTTCCAGGCGGCGTCGTCGTCGTCCGAGACCATCGCCTGCGCCGCAGACCATCTTCGGTCCTTGGTACCGCGAGTCACCGTCGCTGCGCGTCCAAACTTGTTTCCGAGCCGTGACGAGGCGAGGCTTTGCGCGAGGAGCGTGCGAGAATTTGGCCCGCTGGCGTTCTTGTCGCTGGCTTTGCTGAGCGCCGTCGATGAAGCACCGCCCGATCCCGAGGCGACCCGGTCTTGCGCTGACACAGATTGCTTCGCACCGCTCGCCTGCGGTGTGGAGCCTTCTGACATCACCCTGGCGGGCGTATTCTGAATAGGCATAGCCGATGCTGCCGTGCCCAGCGTCGCCAGGGGGAGCCGCACCGCGGTTTGAGGGCGTACGGTGGTCGGAATGCTGGCTTGTGAAGAGGGACCCGCAGCATTGGGCGCCGGAGCCGCCACCTCTACGCCGCGCTTTGCGATCGTGCTCTCGGGCGTAGCTTTGCTGGCCGCCGAAGGCTCGGCATTCGACGCTACGGTATCCGCCGCCATGCGTGCAGAGCGCTCCATGCGCTTGATCACGATCTTCGTGACAAGGTTCGCCTGTGTCTCTTCGCGCTTCCTCGAACTCCTGGAACCTGCCGCACTCAAGCGAGCCGATGCTGGCATCGTCGCTGATGACAGACGCGTGGCGCTCATCATGGGCGTCATCGCGCGTAGGCGAGGGCGTGCCGTCGTCTGCGCCGTCTTTCGACTCTTTCCTTTCCCCTTGCCCTTACCCTTGGCCGCCTTCTTGCGCGAGCCAGAAGCGACATCGGAAGCACTAAGCTTGGTAGCCGGTGCCTTTTTACCGCCGAGGATGCCTGAGCAATTGGCAGCACCGCACAAGCACTGCTCGGTCGGCACCTGAGCCGTCGGAGCTCCGGTCATAGTGTCGCGAGGTTGGAAGGCGGCCCAGCCGTAATTGTAGGTGAGCTCTTCGCCCGCCTCGATGTCGCGATTAGCGAACAGACCGATCTGGAACTCGGCCGACAACGCCTCGTCGGTGCCGCAAATGATGAACTTTTCGATACGGCAATTGGGGTCGCACGAGTGGTTGGCGAAGCGAGTGATGTTGCCCTTGCGGCCGCCGTCGAGCAGCTCTCCAGCTGCGGAATCGTAGTCGAGCAAATAGTAGTTGCCCGTCGCCTTGTATTCTTCCGTCACCCGCTTGGCGGCCTCGCTAAGATTGATCACCTCGCCGCGGTACTCGTCGATGAAGTCGTGTTTCTTGATGGCCTCGAGCGTCTTCAGGCCGAATCCACGGCGACCGTAGTAGGCGACAGCCGTCTTGATGCCGGTACGGCGACCGAGACTGACATTGGTGCAGCTGTTCCCGTTGGGACACGTCCTGGGATCGCAGATGAACTGCAGCATGCGATTGATGCAGTCCGAGCCACATCCACTGCCTGGCTGGCAGTTGCACAGAGGCACTTCGCCCTGAAGCTTGGGACGCGAATAGTACTTGTTCTTGCTGATCTGTTGGTAGCGAGGAGGCTTGCGCTTGGCGTGCACCTTTTCGCGTAGTTGATCCATGGTTTGATAAATCGGATAGGGCAAGCAAAAGTCACGCTCCTCGACTAAAAGCTTGGCTCCAAAGTGTATGGGGTTCGGGAACACCACGTTTCGCTCCTGTGTCGGCTTGGTGGAGGATACGGACGGCGTCGCCTCGGCCTCGCCAGCATAGAGACCAGAGACGTGGAACTTTTTGCCGCCTTTCTCCGGGCGACTCACACGTTTGACGCTGTCTCCGTCAAGCGAACGGTCTTTTGGTGGACGTCCGCGTCGGCGCGGAAGCGCTGCCGGCTGCGAAGGTGCCGAGGAAGTCTGCGATTCTTCGCTGGCATCGCTGAGCTCGCTGACATTTTCATCGAGCATGTCGATCGCTTGCTGTCGCGCGATGGCGTCCGCCTCGGCTTGGGCGCTCCAAGAATCGATGCCGGTGGGAGTCGCGCCGTGCTCCTCATCCATAGCCTCGTCGGGTTCCTGCTCGCGTGGTCTTCCTCGCTTGCGCCTGGGTGACTGCTCCAAGGTCCCGCCTGGAGCAGCGTCCGCCGCCTTCGCGAGATCGGAGAAGCTGCGTTTGCTAGAGCGCGTGGGTGCAGACGAGCTCGATGCAATAGACGCGGTCGACTCCTCGTCGGGCGTGATTTTCCGTGGCCGACCAGGACCGCGCTTCGCTGGCGGAGTTTCCACAGCTCGACTGCCATTGACGCTGGCGGGAGGATTGTCTGCCAAGACCGCAGCGCCTTGCGAGCGCCTGCCCCGTTTCGGCTGGGCTTCTGGCTCTTGCGACTCGCCGTCTGCCTTGTTGGCCGCCTTCGTCTGGACGTCCTTGGGTTCTGCGGCAGCTGGCAAAGACAGCCGGGAACTGCGACGAGACGCAGCCGAGCCTGAATTCTGAACGAGAGGGTTTGCTGGTGGCTGCACCGTGGCTGGAGAATTTGCCGTCTGCATAAGGCTGGCTTCAGTAGCGGATCTTCGCGGTCGCCCAGGCTGTCTTTTGGTCGGCGGGCTTGATGGTGGATCCAGGGCGTCGGGCTTCCTACGCACGGGGCTAGCGAGTAATTTGGCGTCGAGTTCATCTCGTCTTTGAAGCGCTTTCTTCACGCTTGAGCCCGAGGAGACGATGCGAGCTGACCTGCGGCTGGGAGTGGGTGTTTCAGAGGGTGTCTGGCTTGGCGCTTTGCGGCCTGTGGACGAGACCGGCGTCGCCGTGATTCCAATGCGGGTGCTGCGTACGGCACGAGTTGTGCGCCTAGGAGGCGTGGCGAAGGGAAGACCGCGTTTAGCCGACTTTTCCGGAACGTCGCTGTCTGACTCGTCGGAGCTGACTGACGTGAGTGTGCCGTCGGAGATCATGTTGAGATCGCTGGTGAGCGAGGTGGCATAGGACTGGTCGAGAGTGGTGGTCGATGTGCTTTCGTCGGGATTGCCGACCGAGGAGGGAGACAAGCTCGAAAGCGGCTGCGTTGCACCGACAGGATTGGCATCGTCGTCACTGTCGTCGATGATGATGGGGTCATTGAAGCTGTTTGAAGCCGGAGAATCTGTCGGAGTGATCTGGACGGAATCTCTTTCGGCGCTTTGCCTGCTTTGCGCGGCCAAGGCTGGTGCCAACGGCCCGGTCGAGCGAGGCGTAGCGCGCGTAGTTGATGGTCCATCCAATCTTGCTGCTGAGCCAGAAGTGAGGGGGGCGTCCTGTCTTTGAGACCTGGTAGAGGGCGAGGCGATGCTCGAGGAGCTGGCCGAGGCTGCAAGGCCGGAACGGCGCGAAGTGCGTGCCGGAGGCATGTGGAGAGATCAAAAGCGGTCGAGGACGGCCAGACTGACTGGGAGGATGGCACAAACGGAGTCCAAACGGAGTCCAAATCGAGCCTGCGATCGTCGCAGTGTTTTCTTCAGCCTCGTTCGAAAGGGTGATGACCACGACGCGGACGGTCCTGCGTATGGATGTATGCGGGAATGCGTGTGTGCAAATATGCCGTGTCGGCTGCGACGATACGACGCTCGATGGTCAGGCCGAGATGCGCATGGGAGTCTTGCTCATCTCCGAGATGACGCGCGCAAGGCCCGCGGGAAAAGGTGGTGAGGGTCGCGTCGCAAGGGCGCGGTACCGAAGCGACGTGGCGTGTGGTTGTGGTGATTCGAACGAGAAATTGAATTTACGGCGACGGCCACTTTGAGAGACGGCAGATTGAACTCGACGTGGGACAATTGCTTGCGGGCACGGCAATGGGCGGTGGCAGCCCGATCGGTGAGTCGGGGGCGCTCGGGCTGAAAGAGACGGATGAGGTTCGAAGCGGTAGGTAGGAGGGGACAGGAAGAGGTGGCGAAAGGGGGCGACGGATAACGATGGGTGTGGACGGAAGGCAAGAATTGGCAGGCGGCTCACGCTGGCACCAAATTCAAAATTGCATCGTGGATTCCAACGACGTGAGGCCTGCCAACAGGCGCGGCTGCGTCACGAGAGGGCGGGGGACTGCGCTGCTGCTGTTTTGCATGTTCCCACCTCGCCTGCCTGTCTGCACGCAGGTCGGGGCCGGTGTGAACGCAGGGTCGCGAGAGGCGGGCAAAGAAAAGTCCAAGCTGCAGCAGCGCGTCTGCGCGTGCCTGCCTGTCCTGCTGGGGCAACAACTCTCCGCTCCCTTGCAAGGGTCCTGTGTGAACTAAAATGCACCATTTTTTCCCGACTTTTTGTAAAAAAAGAAAAAAGTGGCTAGAGGTCCAGTCATCTCTTTTTGGCGCGTCGCAAAGGTGACACTCTTGGCCCTGCGCTTTGCATGCCCAAAGGGAAGGTGCGATTGCGCAAGAGTCAGTTGGGCAGAGTCTTCCTGGGCATCCTCGAAAGTTTTGAGAGATGGCTATCACCTTTGACCGCTGGGTCACGCTCGAGTGCATAGCTGCAGGTCCTTTCACAGGAGCATGGCGAGTAGCGGCTGCTCACGCAAGTCGGTGGCCAGCCAAGTCAGTATTTCCTAGCTCAACGAGGCTGAGCTGCGACCCACCAGATTTGGCTCGGCCGGATGAGGACATCCTTACAGCGCCACAGTGTCTACTTTCGCTTGACGCACGGCTCGATCGCCCACTCGATCACAGGCGTTGAGGCAACTTGTTCCGATTCTCTGGCTAAAAACAATCGAAAGAACTGTATCTGGTTGAAAAGGTACTGCCAAACTGGAAGTTTGTGGTCGAAACTAGCGAAGGATGGGCTAGCATCGACCTCATCTCTTCGATACGGCGACGACCATACCGACGACACTTCCATTGCTTTCTGTATTCGATCCCTGCTTCCCAGCTCACCATCGACGGCAGCGCCGACGCATCGACCTCAACTTTTGCGGAAACGACGGGTCCGAGCAGGCCCTAGCACGCTGCGTTGGAATCTTCCATTTGTCGCCCCAGAGCAATCCACAACCTGGCAATCTGCGGGGCGCACTGCATCGATACACTCTCTCCGACGGAACCCATTCAGATTCAAGTCCATCCTCATACAGACACATCACTGCCGTCAACGACGCTCGCCCTCGAAGTGGCAAACAAGAATGCAAATGAGAAGAATTGCAGGTATGACCCAGTGCCGGCTCTGCGTTGGAAATAATGCCCCGCATCAAACGACGTTTGCCGATTGCTGCGCACTGCTGAAGCTGCCGTAGCTGCCCGGACCGACGCCGAACCTTCGCTGAAACTGGATGAGCTCGCGTGTAAGCTCCTCCATGAGTCGCATGCTGAGTGGCAGCGGTTGCTGAGAGCCCGGTGTGGCCGCAGTCGTCTCCTTGCTCGTCTCGCCGTCCACAACCTGCTCCGTGGCCGAATCTGGGCGCGTATCCCCGGCTTCCTTGGCGCCGTTCTGCATAGCCTCGGCTTCCATTTCGGCCTCAGCCTCCATCTCCTCGACATACGGCGGCACGATGCCAAGCAGCTTCATGCGCTTCTCTCGCTCCACCGCCTCAATCTGGCTCCGCGTCACATACTCGCCAATGTTGCGCACTCGCTTGCGCATCTCGCCCAGCGTCATGCGACGGCTCGGGAAGCGCACCTTGGTGGAAGACTCGATCGACGAAAGAACGTGGAACGGCGTCGGCACCGATCCCGTTGCTGGCGGCGAAGGCGCGGAGCTGCCCGAGCCGCTCGACGAGCCCTTCTTGTCCATCGCACCTCCTCCGTTGCCTGCTTCTTCGCCCGAGGCGAATCCGGACGCCTTGCCGGATCCATTGCGATGTCCCGGGCCAGGAAGCAGGTAGGCGAGGTGCGTGAGGTGGTCGGGTAGACCCCACTGCACCGTTGAGCCCGCCCCGCGAGCCGAAGCGCCCGACGACTCGCCGGGAGCGGG